TGTGACGAACTTTCTAACTTATGCAATCGATATTGTTACGCACGAGGTACACTGGTCTGGCAGGGAGGTCGCCAACCAACCAATTAAGCGAGATTCACCAGGCAGGCGAGTGAGTGGAGGTGCGAAGAAGGCGAAGTATTTGTACGTAAATGGGCACACTACTTCGACAAACTTCGTAAGCGTCACGCGCTTTATGAGCGTATTCCTTAAGTGAAATGGTTTTTCCCCCACTTGTTCCAACTTGATTTCGAATTTTTGCTACGTTTGAGCCACTTTCTCCCTTTCTCCCATCAGCGTTCCGATCCTGCCGCCGTACTCATACTAGATTCGAACGCCTTTTCCATGAAAAGAACTCTTGTGCAAAGTCCGCCCACTGTAGGCGGAGCCCAGTCGTGCCGCTTACATTGATGTTCTCATTTTGCCGTCTGTGATCCAACCAAGTTTTAGCGCTGCGCTTCCAGTTTACCAGACTTCACGTACGCCCTGCTCTCTGTGAGGCCACTTGTCATTAGTGTGCCTATTTTGCCGTCTCTAGCGGCGTTTAGTCCTGCCACATATTGCTACTGTTACCATACTGCTGTCTGTACTCCAATTTTCCCACACGCCGCCCTCTGTAGGTGGGGTCCAGTTGTCCACCTGCCAATAACGATTATTAAGTTTTGTTCAGAGGTGAAGTGTTCAAACTCTGAGGGAATTCAAGTGTGTTGGGAAAGCTGTTATAAAAAGAAATTTCAGGAAAGCTGCTACAAAGATAACAATCGATATCGATAAAGATCATTTGACTATCGATAATATAATCGATAGTCAAATGATTTTCATTAGGATCGATTTGCACTGTAATATAAGGGCCGCATACCCTACTACAATGAAGATCTAACATCTCTTTCTTTACTAGCCTCTTCTCCTTTTTTTCGGAACGATTTTGAACGGAAATATATGTTTTTGATCTAAGCTCCCGCCGCTTTGGGTCCCATATCATTTTACCTTTCTCTTTGTCGCCTTTTCCCACTTCTGAAATCTTCTGAATAGAAAGGTAAATATCCATCAAACCGCCTACATCACGCTTGCAATGAAGATCTGACCTCTTCCTAGCCTTTCCTCACTTTTTCCGTATCTCTGAAATGTTTTGAGCGGAAATTTAGGTTTTTCACCTAAGATTTGCCCATGCTCACTTTTACCATGGATGCTGCAACTATCTGTCATTTCACGCATGGTCCGCCCACTACATCCACTTACGCCTCCGCCGGCTAGAACCAGTTCAGTTACTCTGCATACTATCGGTGTCTTAAATCTGCGGCCTGCACTCGTTCCAAATTTTAAGCCTGGTCCTAACTGTCAATTTNCCACTAAGTATGAACTCTCCACTCTAAACACCTAGGAAACAGGATTTATGAATTTCCCCGCAACCACAAACTTTTGCAAAAAAAAACAGCAAAATTAAGGATTGTACGAGAATGTGACCGCAAAAGTTGCGTGGAATTGTTTTTAGATGAGCTGTCTAAATGCGTGTGCCATTACCCTCAGCTTGCTACAGTAGCTGCCTGCGCGCAACGTGTGGGTCCGGGTGTGAATGACTGCTTTCAGCTCGCCGAGGTGCATTGTTTCCATCAATCGACCAACGGCGTCGATGGCCGCGTGTTGACAATACTGGACCGATGACTGCTCAAGCGGCCCTGAACTTAACCTGTCCGTGTTGTAAAAACGGGACAGTACGCTGTTGGTCGGTCGGCTGGTCTCTGCCTATTCAGACCGTTTTTCGACCGTTCGACAGCCTCCTCTATGCTATGGACTTGGAGCTCACTGGTTCATCCTAAAATAGAGAGAAATCTCAGGAATCATTCTTATCGTGAACGCTACCTTTAATTAGGGTCGCACGGCAGTGGTTTTATTCCTTCATTACCTTCATCATTCACTGAGAATTACCTTTATATATCTACCCAGATCCTTCACATGGTAGGTGTGGCGAATACGCCGCAAGGATTCACACCCATGATGCCATAGGTAGTGAGCTGTAAATAGAGAGACCAAATTTCGTCTAGCTTTCGATCCGGGAACTGCATTGTATGGACGGCGCGCAGGTGGAAGTCGGAGGGATGCGTTTCGATTCTATCGTCGTTTGCCCAGCAACTCTCCGCGCAAGTAGCACGCGGCGCTTATCGTAATCTCGAACGCTGTGCAATGCACTGGTTCACTTGAATTACTATCGAACGCAAATTAGAACGCGCCATAAAGAAATCAGTGAGATCTGGTTGAAGTAGATGCAAAGTACAGGTAGCATGAGGGTTTTTTTTCGAATTCTTTTTTTGTGTATAGGAATTAGAAAGTCAGGAGTAAGTCGTGAATTGCAGAAGGTTCTTTGCTAGAAATGCGCGGTACCGCTGCAGCACCGATGTTGTATTCGAATGTCTGCGCGCAGTAAATAATTCAAACCCAAACCTTTACGCGGTCCAAACGAGTTCATCCCAAGAGGATATGGGTACATATGTGCGTCCCAGGATGCGCGCGGCAAACTGGCGGCGAAATTTGTAGCGGTTCGAACGACTCTTGCGCCTATTGTTGGGCTATAAACTAGAGTAGTTTAGTAGGGTCAGCCGACCCTACTATTCTACTTTGCTTCAAACTTGGGCCCCCATGTTAGGCGCTAAAGACGTTCAAATGACCACGGCTTTCGCTGCGAGCATAGTCGGATGCACGCGGATTCCGTCCCCCATCCAAAGATTGCAGTGGATTGAGCCGCGCGCGGCTAGTGCGGCGTGACCTAATTTCATCGACGATAGAATCGGACGTCTCCTAATCAGAGCATATGCGCAGGGCTGCGCCAAATGACATACAAACAAGTTTTTGCTTACAAACGAATGATGACACAGGAGGTCTATTATAAGCAGGTCGACTTTGAATAAAGGCAGCCATCAAGTATATTGCACTTGACTGCATACAGTAAGAATAACAATACAAAGACTAGAACAGCCTCTTGAAGAAGTCATCAGCTCCATCTTCTCCCTTTGCGCTGACCGGTGGGCAGAACGAAAGGCTTATCGTCGATCGATATCACAAGGTCAATGACTCACGCAACTTGTTTTCCCATTCAGCGCGTTCGAGTCGCTCAAGCTCCCTTTCTGCTTCACTGTTTCCCGTATAACAACTGATTACAAGGTTTGCATTGATTGCTGGTGGTTTCGACCCATCAACTACGGCTTGTTTTCCGTTCAGTGATTACTTGTTCCTTGTGAGCTTACTTTACAGAATATGAAGTAAGTAGATTCTAACATCATCAATATGACTCGGACGGTGCGTGAAGTTATACAAAGAAGGTCTTATGTGTTAGTTCGGGGGCTTTAGCAAGAATCCGAAAATCACATGACCACCGGCTTTGTCATACCAGCAGACCCCGGCACCTTTTGCCTATCACCGTTCACCTCCTCTCGCCCGTCGAATACCGCGAGGCTTAAAGGCAGTCATTAACCACCCTCGCCATTCATTCCATCACGCATTTACATATCATCGTGACCTTTTGTAGTTGTTGATGATGAAATTCTTTGTATAAGTTATATAACCAAGTTGCCAATTCTGTGTATGGTTCACTATAAAAACCGCTTTCATTAGGGGCCGGCTAGCGGACTATGAAAGCAGCCAGTAAATGAATGTCATTAGTTTGAGTTGCCCTAATCGGTTAGACTCCCTCCCACTTTTAAAAGGCGTTCATGACCCTGTGTATCGTGTACTTTCAAACGAAGTTTGAGAGAGTCACATGCCGCAAGTATCTCATTTCTCTCATGGCTCTAACTTTCCAATGTTTGCTCCAGAAAGTGGGACCGTAAACCGCTGGCCGCGAACGCAAGTATTGACAGCAACTCCTCGTCGCCTCTTGTTTCCCTACTGATTTTTCATCATAATTGATGCAGCTTTCATGGTTATCTAGCAGAGCTGTTTGGAGAGATTTCAAGCTAACCTCAACGTGTTGTACAGTAACATTCTAGTGTCCTTTCTCCGCCCCAATGTGTGGTTCACCCGAGGAACCTTTCTGATGCGTCGTATACGTGGCGGGTTGGAGGCGCTTAAGTCCATGTTTGGGTTACTATGTAACACATTCACGGTACGATTAAATCCGTCTTGTGCAGAGCTGTGGCGGCCGTTTGGTGGCGATCCCAGTTTGTTAATGATAGTTTGCCCTTACTGCATGTGAAGAATTTTTGCGTGACCAAATGTGCTCTCCCGGGAGAAGGGCCTTAGGAACGATTTTGGGTAATCGATTTGCCGCACGCGACTGTCGCGGACCACTCATTCGCTTTATTACAGCTCTAGCGTTCTTCATACAGCTCAATCGATATGCGATCATTATTTTATGCATATTTCTACTATTAGTACTTTTGTTCTTGTATTTCTTACCTACTGCTGCATCCTGTTACATTCCTTCGCGCGCGACGCCCCTCTCACCGCGACGCGACCATTTCGATCCTAGCGCACCACACCCGTGCTCTCCCTGAATCATGATAAGGGTTATTAAGGCGACGATGCACATTTCTGACTTTGGCTGCCCCTTTCGGAGTGGTACTATTTTTGCATTTTTTTTTGAAACTTCTTTCGACTTAACGATCGAAATGCCTGCTAAATTGCTCTTCTTGAACTTCACAATGTTTGCTGTTGTCGCAAAAAGCATCACAGTCTTTCATACAGTGTAGGTCGACGTGAAGCTGATGTTCGAGGTATTGCTCTGAACTGCTGAATAGTATGAATTCCCTTCCCGAAGGGTTTTTCGCTCAGAATTAGCGACTTTTGAACTGAGCTAGTCTTTTTTAGCGAACCATTCTTGTTTTCATTCTCATATCAGGAAGAGATAGTTGTGCAAGTGTTGGGTGTGAGCTTTCAGTCCACTCAAAAAATTGTTCTCACTAATTGAATCGAAATTACAGAACAGACGCTGTTACGTAGGTGAACGCTCTTATTGCCTATGCTTTTTGTACTGATTCGTTCGTACCTGAAAACGGTACAATGTATCGTCAACATGTATTATGATATGGTGGTCGGTGATTAAAATCTACGCGAAATTGCGTGAAAGTATCTTGATGTTCCATTCAGCGGAAATCGATGATGAAAGTGGTGCGCTACAGAAAGCGGATTCTTCTTTCGTCATGGGAAGTTATGGAATAATCGAAAACTGGTTTCTGGGTGGTCAACAACAACCACAAGTATTACACGTGAAACATTTGTTGCCTTTATCTGTACGGTAGAACTGCTAGTCGAGATTCTAGCTATTAAGTAGTTTTACTTGACTAAGCGGTTTGATACGCAAAATCCTAGGTGGGGGAAGGAACGCTGACCAGGGAGGGAACCAACCTCTAATGAAACTTTGAATGTAGATCTAGGTATAGCGATGAGTTCTGAATTGTTTACGGATATATAAGGTAAAACTGCCAAATGGGTTTTTCAATGAAAGTTATGAACTCTCACAATTTGCTTGGAGATAATTTTACTCGAAAAGCACAGCTATTCACACTATTGCTGCGCCTCCGTGGCTATGATATATGAGGCTGATATAATTGTTTTATGATTTTGCTAATGAAAACTAGCCTATTGTAACAGCAAACGTCGATGGTCTGGCTTCTAGCACTCCGATCTACCCTTATGTACCTCATTCAGTCTTAAGGCATTACTTATGGCTTTACTTACTTAGCATTGCCTGTAAAGGGGCACTATGTATAAGTGTAAAATTGGTGAACAAAATGTTTCCTTTAAACTTTTTGGCACTATTCTACTATCCCCCCAAAAACTCAAAATTTTAATTTTCGATGAAACTTTGCCTATAGGGGTAATCCGATGCCCTTATGACGAATATGACCTTCATTTTTGGCGTTGGCGCCATTTGGCGCCGATTGGCGCCAATTTGGCGCCGAGGGTGTTTTCACCAAATTTGCTGAAA